GTGGTAGGCCTACCGAATAAACTCCCGTGGAAGAGCAGCACTGCAGCGGTCGGTAAATGCCGCTGAAACACATTAATAAATAATGAACCACGGCACTCTGGAGAAAAGTACAAGGTTGGAGAAGTCGTTATTTAATTTAATCTGGCTTCGTAGTCCCCCATTGTTGTTGTTGTTGTTGTTGTTGTTGTAGTGAGCGCCGTAAACGGTGACGTCATGACGCAGCAGCGGCAGCACCAGTCGGGCTCTGGGCGGTGTGAACAAAATGGGGGCTGAACGGAAAAACTGGTTCCGAACCAGAAAAGCTCTAGCATGGAGCTAGAACGGGAATCGCGTTGGTGTGAAAGCCCTAAGAGAGTCAGTTTCTTGGATCCGTGTCACATCAGGTTTCACCCCTGACATGGGAGCAGCAGGTCTGAGTCTGAGAAGTGAACGTCAACAAATCATTTAACACCAGAGACAAATCAGGAGAAAATTCACTTTGTTCAAGTCAAGACCAATTTGTCTTATTGGACTGTCTCAGTATCACATTGTAACTGGATCTTACAAAACCAATATCTCATCTTTCTGATTGTGCTCAAATGTCGCTCAGGTGACATTACAAGTAGTTTTGAATTAGCATTATGGAAAGCGATGCTTCCAATTGTTCCCGTTTCCAATAGCCATATTTCAACAAAGAACTTCCATGCATTCATTTGCACCCCGAAATAGCTGTGTAAATATAAAATGTATAAATACGCAAGACATTTTAGGGGACAGGAAGTGTATACCATCTAGCATCATCTTTAGTTAGAGCATATTTTTTACGCACAGGAAACGCACTAGTTCAGCTGAAAGCAATACAAAACATCTATCATAGGAAACGGTGGCCTAAATAACACTCAACATTTAAATGTTAATTTCCTTATGATTCTGAGAGTGTTTGATCTCGTATTACTGCTCTAAAAGAGTCCCAGATGTGTAGGTGTTGCTACAATGACTCTTATCAATTAAATGTGATATGACAATTCCTTGTATGACTAAACTCTGCCTCACACCGCTCTCTAACAGGATTATGCTGCTAACAGGATTATTATTCAGTATGTATCAACATCCCATTCATGATTTCTGCTTTTTTATAGCACGGGAAACGCAGGAAAACATGACTAATCTGTGCATAAGCGCTTAGCGAGCTACATCCTCCTTCTGCTTTATGCTCAGAAGCAGCCGAATGGAGCATTTCCTCTCCTTTCCTGTGAGAGGCTGTGATTTATAGCATCTGGTCACAGGGACAGCTGACGTGGAGTGTTGAAGGGAGAGAGCTCTGGCCTCCTCCTCCCTTCTTCTTCAAAGATTCACTTAAACCAAAACAATCTTGCCTAAACCTGGACTCCCTGTCCAGGTTCCCAGACTCATTCTAGCTGATCTCATCCTCACAACCCTCCCACCCTGTTGAACAGGCATGTGAGCCCCCAGGACACAAACAATAAGACACAGTAGTCAGAGCTGTGAGAACTTGAGCCCTGTCGGACTGCAGGAGCTGAGAGGAGCTTTGTCTTACAGTATGTTTTAGCTTTAGCCTTTCAATGCTAACAGAAAGAAAGTATTAAAAAATGCTGTCATACTTGAAATAATGATTACACAACCAGCAGTATATCAAGAGACAATTCATCTGCTACAATTTGTATTATTAGTTGATAAGTTGATTGCAACCCCACCCCCCCCTGACCCACCTTTGGAATGTATTGTTTTACTCTTGGCTGGACATGCTAACGCTTGCAACGTATACTGCCATTATTTGCTGTATGGTACACAACATGGGACATCCCGAAGAAACATGTTTTAAATACACAAGGTACTGTCAATAGCGACAGATTTCTTTATACATTTAACTTTAGAAATGTCCACCCACAAAATTACGCCGTACAGTATGCAGTTCGACAGCTATGTTAAGCTAACGTCCATACGCTAAGTACAGCTAATGGTCATGTGTTACAATAATTATAAGTACAAATGGTAAAAACTGTCTTGGTCTGGCTTCACAAATCCTCTTATTGTTGTTATATATTTTTTGGTTTTGGCCAAATAAAACAAGACAATTACGAAAGTATGTGTTAGTTGAGGACCTATACGTTAGTAATGCAACTCTTTAATGGCTTACAAACCAGGCAGAGGTTTTCTCTGAGTTGAATTGAGTAGGGCTAATGATAACGGCAAATCAAAAGCGAGTGGGAGGAAGGTTTCTGGGCCAAAATCTACATTTCCAGCCAGGCTGTAATGTTGAATTACTGCCAAGAACACAACGTCAGCATGACTGGGAAGCTCTCGGGGCCAAAGGGAGTCCACGTCTCATGATTACTTCCACAGAGGAGCATTGACTCTGACTGCAGGGCTGGAAAAGCCAGTGACACTGCAGATAACAACTGTACAATTTAAACTCCTTTTACAAACAAGCGTAGAGGTTTTCTGTCTTCACCACACAATAAGCCGGGACCACTCCTATTGTGAGACCTAAACAAAGGCTCTTTGAACAAGTCATGTCTTGGAGAGTCAGACTCCAGCCCTTGCAGTGTTAGTAAGAAAGGAAGCTGCAAACTGTATTCTGCAACATTGACTCTGACACACCAGCAGACAGACTCTGATTAAGTGGCGTAATGTCTCTGGTTGACTGGTTTCAGGGGGTGTGAGGGATGACAGGAGGTGTGTTTGCATTTGTGTATGGGATTACATGCATTAGGGTTAAACCGAAGGTCCTTCAAGCTCAGAATTTAATAAATCACTCTGATATTGGGATTATGAGTCTGCAGGCTACAGTAGGCTGTACAAAAACAAGCAAACCATTGTTGGATTCAATATCTTCTTTTTTATTTTTTCAACAATGAGACTCAGAGCTCAGGAAGAGTCAGAGTGTAAGAATGTTTCTGTTTATGTAACGCCGCTGCCTTTTTCGGCATCTTGCATTGCTGAAAACGTCACATGTTGATCAACCCTGTCGCATGCTGCAGATCTCACCGGAAGGCCTGCAACCAAAACATGCTTTGTGTTTCACCTCAGATCACTTATTGATCGGTGGATTTGTTCAAGAACAATATGAGCTTGTTGAGTATTTCAATAAACAATAAAGTCTCATGATTAGGCTCCAAAAGAGAGATTCCAAAGTTGACAACCATGCCTCAAAAACACAGGCTGTCGACCTCCTCACCGTACACGCAGTATCCAGTTGACAGATTGTTTAAAAGCCTAGCTGTTCTACAATGAAAAACAAATACGCAGCAATAACTATTTTTTCTTTTGTGATGAGTGCATTGAAATGGAAAGAACAAACAGATAAATCATAAATCATCATGTTTCTGCCATCGCTCAGAATAACTTTGGACTAATTCTGACTATTGATTGTTCCAATATAGCCGGATCATCACTGCAACCTAAAGGAGTCAAGAACAGGATCAGTGTATTCATTAGTATGTCATATTTAAGCTTAAACTAGAACGATATATGGGTCAGATTATGAACATATCGTCAGTATCGAGGTACGAGTCCAAAAACATAAAAAAAGATTACGCTTTAGAAATGCCAAACAGCGTCATAACCATCACATCATTTTAAAACCAAGTTGACAATTTCAAGAAATGTAAAAAATGAAGAGATAAGGGATCTACATCCACATTGTCCAGTGTTAACGCAACTGCCCATGTATCCTTTCAACTCCCAGATATTAATATGAACTGGCCTCAAAAATCTAGCATCCATCAGAATATGGTTGCAATATTTACAGCCGATGTGCAGACCCCCACTCATGCAGCGAGCCAGCACCATGACAGCCGCCCTTAGCGGTGATATAAAGCTGCAGCAGACGCTTGCCTCCCTCCATCTAAAGGGGGAGGGCTGCACAGAAAGTCACCTTCTACCAGCACACAGGTCAAGGGGAGATGTGTGATGGAGGTGCTTTTATAACTGTGTCATCCATCATTTGATTTAAGCCTCCATCCAAATATGGAGATGTCCTGCTTTTCTCGGTTCATATCCTAAAACAAAACAATGTTGTAGTGTCAGTCATAACCCAAAGCTTTCCATAGACCTCACCTTCGACTATGAGAAACTAGGATGTAACATGTTCTAAATGTTCTGATATTGCATAGAAAATAATGATGAGCCTTACAGACAAGACATCACAAACACATGAGCCAGATCAAGAGTGGAAATAAACCAGAAATTAAAATAATAATTCACTAGAAAAACAGATACTATGCTGTATTGAAAAGCCTTAATTAATTATCACCTTCTTTACCATGGTTTTGAATGCACATGTCAGGGTTTGTTGCTCATATTTACATTATTAAATGAGGATAGCATGTACAGTTCAATAGGGACATTTAAGTATATAATACATATCAGCTCATAATATGGGTTTCACTATAATTACATTTTCTCTATGGTTGGTGGAACAGCTACAAAGAAGATGGAAAGTGTGAGAAACCATGAGATGGGAATGCAGATGTTTAAGGTCTGCATCAGGCTGCTGACGTGCTCTGAGCAAGAGGGAAAGAAGATAAAGGAAGAGTTTTTACTGTTATTCTGGGATCTGATTAGTATCCCACTGACAGTGTGAGGAACAGTGATTGTTTTTAAGCACAGAGTCTCCAGCTTGCCTGGTTGTACATGTGGGCCATTTTTCCCCCTGTGCACCACTGACGTGTTTGGTAATGGAGACCTCAGCTTGGTGCAGCATTTCCAGGGGCTCTTGTAGCGCAGATACAGCCCACATGTGAATAAAGGGGAATTACAGAAGGGTTGCCAGGAAGGAAAAAAAACTCCCATCTGTAAAGATTGAAGGGGGAGGAATATGATGTGATTTTTCAGCAGTTGAATCGAAAACGTTCATTGCCCAGGAAAGCTGACCCTTCAAACAAATATCCGACACACTTTTATAATAATTGGTATAGGATAAGGACAATAAATCATTCACCACCAGTAACGTTATTCGTGACCTATTTGTTTGTGTATGTTGACTGGGATATACTCACATTTGTCTGTTAGTGTCAGTTTCTCCTCGAAATGATGTCCCAGCTCTTTATAATCCATTGTTTCCATTCAGGCGGAGCGATTCCCAGTTGCTGTCATTCCTCACAGTCGCACCAGTACAGGAGATGAAACTCCCGGTACAGATCGCCCCAAACACGCCCTTTGTAAATCCAACCGATAGAAGAAAAAGTGACCAAAAGAATAATGTGGAAATAAAAACAGGATCCGACTGAAAAAGGATGGGAATGCCTGAAATGTTGAATTATAATAAACTCTTGTCAGTGTCTAATGAATTAAATAAGAGACTCAACCCAGTCCAGCGGGTCTTTAGTGGAAAATCTACAGTGAGGGAATAAAAAAGCTTCAGCGAGTCCTGAGAGCCGCAGTCAGGCTACAAAGTATCAGAAAAACACTTCCGGTTATACTTTTCAGAATAAAGGAAATCCCACTCTAATTCCAATACTTTTTGTGCGGTCTTATATTTTCAACAAGTTAACAATATGGTTATGACAGAGGTTAAATAATACTAGATATCTCTTTTAAATAAAGTAATTCAAATGTGATATTCTCTGACTACCTGGAAATGGTGAAGCCTGAGCTTGTTTTGTGCCTTTTCTAAATACGTGGAGCATCAAGCATTACCCAATCATATGTCTTTTTGTTATGTGTTTGTTTTCTTCTATTTTACAGTCCATAATAGGTCCATAATAAGCATGGTTGTATACAAGCCTTTTTCTCAAAATATGTAATGAACAGACTAAACACACAGGTACTTGTGTAAAATGTAGGTGACAATTTAAATATATTTATATTTATATAATACAAATAAACGGACTAATTCAAGTATTAGCAATAATTAGACATTTGTTCATATTAAAATGCAGGTGTTATCCCAGAATGTTCTTCATAATGTGTCAGGTGGAACAGCCCCAATGTAATCTTATGAAAACATATGTACTACTTTGTTTAACCTGTTAAGCCCGAAGGTCCCCGCCGGCGGGGACCCTGGGTCTTTTTTTCACGATACTGTGTCTCAGGGGATCTTAATATTTAAGAACCTATTAATGTGTTATACCAGATTAACGGAAATAATCTCAGCTAACTGCCGATACAAACCATGTTTACCAAAACAAAACACAAGTCTCACAAGAAGCATCTAAATTACCCCTGAGCGAAAAATGCTAACGGACATTGGCACAGAACTCAAGATAAAAGTACCCTTATTACTTATCATAGCTGCACATACAATATATCCGATTAAAGCTGAGACTCCATAGATTATGTAGGTATATAGTATCATCACTGAGTGATCCGGACTCGCGACAGGGGAAGCAAATACAGTCATCACAACACGTACCTTTACGAAGCTTCTAGGGAGATCGTCTCACAAGTAGCTGTCAATCTGATCAAAGTACGTGTTCAATGGCATTAAAATGAGAAAAAACGCGGCTGAATCTGTTAATCCATAGGTTCTTAACGTCCATGTATAAAAAACTGATTGAATTTATAATCCATAATTCCATTTTTATGTAAACATCGGAGAGTAAATGCTAGCTGCTAATGGTAGCCACCACAGCTAGCTGCTGCTTCCGGTCTCGGCGATGCAGCAGTCTCACACATACACATGACCAAATAAGGACTATGTGGGAGTTCCCCTCGATTCCATTGGCTCTGACTATCAGAAAGAGATGTCACATGTCAAAATCGAGCAAGGGGGGCCAGAGATATGGAAAATCCACCCAAATGGCCCCAGAAGAGGGTTTTTTTTTGCTAAATCTGTCTAAAAAGGTCAAATATCACTTGTTTTGCATCAATCTTGATACAGGGTACTTATTATATGTTGTACTTTGGATTCCTAAAGCTTTTCGTCTACTAACCCATCATCCAAGGTTAGTTTTCACTATAAGTACAACATATTTTTTGGACGGACACTATAATTTACAGTTTTTTACCATGTTCAATCTGAATTTTCTTTAAAATAAAAAACATCTATATTGAATCTGACTTTTCTACATCCAACTCACAGGTTTATCATTACTTTGAGAAAAAATATTATTAATTTAACCCTTTTAGAAGGGAAGATATGGTCATTTGTTCTGGGAATGTCATTTTCGAGCCTGAAACCTGAAAAACAGGCTCGGGGTTTAACAGGTTAAAATTATTATTAAAACAAATTTTGGTTTAAAAAGATCCATTATTTAAATACTTCAGAATGCTTTATTGGCTTCACATTAAAAAAAAACATATTTTATAATATGTTGGGGGGCTGTGGTTCAGTGGATTAGTGTGCTGAGCTTCGAATCAGAGGATAGCAAGTTCGAGTCCCACTGCAGTCAGCATGTCGTTGTGTCCCTGGGCAAGTCGCTTTGGAAGCGTCTAACAAGTGACATGTAATGTAATATTATATTTCAATATGATTTGCAATATTACTGTTTCAATATCCTGTGCAACATTTGTCTACTTTTCATTTTTAGTGTACTGATTTTATAAAATGATCTTATCTTTATTAAGGCTTCTTATACACTTAATATGTACTATTTCACAGTTTGTATTCTTCTGTAATATTTTGTATGCAATCTTTTGCTCTACGTTTTCCTGTCATAGGCTGTACCTTATTCTGAAGTGAACATTGCTTTATTTCCGGTTCAAGTCTTTTACATTGTGCAGCTTGACGCCGCTAAACGTAGCAAAAAACCGCATGCCGGAGAACTGGACCGTACCAACTATTTGGCAATGGAAGCAAACCATTTACACATTCATTAAAACACCAAATAATCTACCGAAGAAGAATGAAAAACACTTAAAAACAAAATGTATCGCTGTAAGGCTTTTTTCGTTGGTTTTAACACCAGTAAAGGCACAAAAGGTTCCTCTTGGACCCCGTTAATGGTTTCATCCATCAGATGATTTCCAGCAGCTGAAAACAGACCGCTGCCTGGAAAGAGGTGACTTGTCATAACATCGAAAAAACGCATTGTATGCGTAATTAAAGCGAGTATTTATATATTAATTATCAGTAGTAACAGTTGCATTAGAAAAAAACAAAAACTTTTTTCTTCTTCTAATGCAATCGTGATTAGATGTTATATTGTCACCTTCAAGTATCTTTATAAATGTACCAATAAAGAGATAAACAATCCTACTTAACATCGGGATATACACTGGGTATACTGTAGAAGCACAGCATGCTGCATTCTACAGGCTTGAATCATCTTTCCCGTGTATAAAAAGTGTCAGGGCATTGTCTCATGACATATTGGAGACGACATACTAATGAACAGTTGACTTGACCTTCCTGCCACTGCAGGAGACAGAGGAGGTCAGTCTTCCTGGAGGAAGTCTGCTGCCCATGTCTTATCTGATTATAAAAAGAGAAGCAGCATGAGGATGAATAAATACATCTTAAAGAAACAAACCATATCCCAGTAAAACATGTATATGGCACCATAGCAGTATCAAATACTCTTTATTGGAGAGCTGTGTGATCAAAATACATTGACTCAATCCGGGAAGATTAAATATATTGTAGGTGTACATCAATGATTTTCATGTTGAAATGAGGGTCAATCTTTTATATGAAATAGATAAAAGTGGCCTTGCAGGTTGGAGGGGCAGTGCCATTCATTAGTATTTAAATAGAAGGATTTTAAAAATAGTCTAGACAGAATTACACCCAGTAGACTTTTTTAGGTCATTTGAATACAAATAAAACATATTAATTATAGATGAGGTCATCTGTTTCTTCATGCCTTTAAAAAAAGAAATCTGCATGACGTAAAGGACACTGAATGCAATATTTATGTTTAAAAGCAAAATAACAATTCTCCAATGCCCATTTTTCTCTTTAGTGCAGAAAACAAGGTGAAGTTGGAAGTATGCTTAATGCTAAAAGGGCAAATGTATGTGAGCTTTACCACAGAGATGCATGACCCACTTAGCTGCTGAAGACACCAAGGACACAGACCTCAGGACTATTCGGTTATTGCAATATAGACCTCTTTCGTTTTCCTTATAGTTCGGCCTAAATAGAAATGTTGCCAGTGAAACCTTATTTTATTATTCCTATAAATGTGGTACATGGCGGCTAAAGATAGCCAGTGATGTGCTGAAACACTGCCAATCAATCCTCCCTGCGACACATGAAAGGGGAAGGGAGACGATTCAATCGCCTAATGGAGATGGATCTGACTGTCGGTGCCTGTTAAGGAGTGTGGAGGTTAAAAATGATTTGTTGACCAAGTTACGGGATTTCGAAACGCAAGGGCAGGAAATGTAATACAGCAGTTGAGAAAAGGCAGGCAGCGCTCAATAAACCCTCCATATCTTGTTCGTCTGCATAATGACCTTTGTCTCCTCCTTAAAGGGTCCCTATTGTGTTCATTTTAAGATCATATTTGTATTTATGTCCTCTACTGTGACATGTCTCCATGCTTTAATGTTCAAAAAGCTCTTTATTTTTCACATACTGCCTGTGCTGCAGCACCTCTTTTCACCCTCTGTCTGAAACCAGAGCCCAGTCTGCTCTGATTGGTTTGCTGGCCAGCTATGTTGCGATTGATGAACCGCTTAAGAATGTCCCGCCCCTTAGCCTATCATGTACAATGTGTTAGAGCACTAGCCAATAGAAGTGTGAGGTTAGCCTTTGCAGAACATGCACAAAAACCTATATAACACTACAGGAATGAGAAAAGGCCAAATAGGACCCCTTTAACCTCTATAAGTTATACTGCCATATAAGTACTGAAGTATTTGTTGCTTTTCTTCCAAGATATCACATGAGTTAAGGGAAACTTCATGACTCGGATCACACTGTAAACTTGTTGTGTTTTTGTACTACTGTAACTCATGTGTTACAGAAGAGAGAAGGGGCCGGATGTATTCATTCTTAAGAATATAACCTCAAAATAAATAAATGACCTAATTAATCACACTGTTTGTTTCACTGGTGACGTATTCAGACACAGATTGCAGAGAAACGATAAACAGACTAAACTTTTATGATCCTCTCAGGTCACATCCAGCACACACTGCAGCAGAATGAATATTACTGGGCAATCATTGTTATCCCAAAATCCACCGGCATGGCTAAAAAACTAAATCGGATGGACAAACAGGATAGGATTTCTTTTTGTTTTCCTCATATTTCGGATTCTCCATGACTCAATACATGCACCATGTGTCTTGAATGTTTTATGCAAGACTCATGAAAACACAGTAGAACAAATTGTGCCTGCAAACCACTGATGTACTGCCAAGCAACAAATATAAATTGACACAGTTAGCTCTTAGGCAGACAGCGTCACTTTAGCTAGACAAATTACTTTTATTAGATCTCTCTTGGTATCATTGAGGGAATCATCTTACGTAATACACCTTTATAGACCACTTAAATTAATGAATAAGGTTTTAAATCAGTGGAGGTTGATGGAAAAGTTATTCCATCCGCATGTATGAATGTTTCCTGAAACAAAGAACTTTCTCAATGAGGCTTCTTTTGAGGGGGTGCATGTCCATACTCGCCTACACCTGAGTGAGACATGGGGAGGTTCAGAGAGCCTCCCATAAACCCATAGAGGCATGCGGTTAATTGCCCCTCCTACACACAACCACAAAGGCAACCACTAAGCTAAAAAGCCTGCAGTTACATTTCCAGATCCTCCCTACGCTTTGAGGGGGAGAGCACATATAAAATGCTCCTCTTATTGTAAAAGAAAAACCCAAGTGCACAATGGCTTGGTTTTACAAGGCAAGTACACATATTTGGAGAGCACACTGCTGAAGTCAGAGTCTGAATATAACTACAGCTGCTGCAGTGTGGGAGTCAAACATGTCTGCAGTTGGTGTGGTTATCGAGTGCAGAGCTGGGGAAACGTCCCCAACTGATTTCCTTGCGAGCAGATGACACACGGTTTTCCATTCTTTGCACATGGATAAAAGCTTGACGTATAAATAGCAACTCTTTGGCACTAGGTTGTCATTCCCACACAGCACAGCGCTGTATGACAGTAAAGGGCCTACATTATATAAATACTGAATAAAAATGCAGACAGGAAACTGCGCCTTTAAATTAGATGTAAGGACTTCTGTTAGGTTTTGATTCAACAACTATAAATATAGAAAATTACACTGGAGTGTCATCACAGTCATTACTGCCTGAAATGAAAACAGGGGGCTTCAGGTACATACCCAAACGACATGTCGACATGTCGACATGTCGTTTGGGTATATTCAGATAGACCGTATGAGTAAAATAATGTGTTTTCTGAACATTAAAGCATGTAAACATGTTCTAGTAGAAACCCAAAATACGTAAGTATGCACCTGAAAATGAGCATCATATGTCGTCTTTCCATGTCAACAACTGCATCTTAAAAACAGAAAATGCCAGCGTGTTCATCCATCTAGTGAAAAATGAAAACATTTTGTGACAGAGAGTTAGAAGAGAAGATTGACACCAAATCCATAAATATGTGGAAAATATGGAGCTACTTCTGAACACATTAAAGCACCCCTTAAACTGACTCATTAAAACATTATATCTTGTTTGCAAAAGTGTAAAAATTATAATTTGCAGTTGCCAAGCAACTTGCAGCAATTTACCAGGTTTTTTTTTTTGGACTGCATTTATGGAGTGCTTTTCTATCCCACTCCAAATGCTTTCCAACAGCATAAGTAAGCATTCACACACATTTATTCAAAGGCTGACATATAAGGTGCAATAACGGCTTTTTCATATACATAAACAGTGTGTGTGTAATTATAAAAAAGCAGTTATTGCAGGTGATGATATGTGTGTATATAAGCATGTCATGATGTATGAGGTGATATAGTGAATTTGTTTCTTGTATCCAGCATTTACAGTGAACCATTATCTTTCATTTTGAATCGTGTTTGTGTTCACCTGATGAATGAAAGTCAAACATTCAGTCTCTTTTTGCTCTGGTTTTGGTCTCCACCACCTCCTTACGAAATCAATCTGTCTCTTTAGCTGCTTAATGTTCCACTCTTTCCCCCAGCAGCTCTCTATCTGTGTCTGCTGCTGACTAGGTAGTGTACAGTGAATGTGTGTAGCTTTTTTTTTCTTTAACAGCTGTCAGCTTCAGCCAAAAACTATGCGAGAGCCATGAGAAAGAGCCAAAACAATAAAGTTGCAGGATGACAGCGAAACAATGGACCAAAACTCGCTATAAACTAGAGGAATTGCAGATTCAGGCGTTAAATACCTGCAAGTTCATCACGACAAGCAAACTCTTCCACATCTACTGATATATTTGTATGATGTAAAACTTGATTATAGCTGTATTTAAAAAACAAATATCAAGGTATCAATATGCTTGTCTAACTCTAGGCCTGAAAGCAAACAAGCATTATCTCAAAATGTAAAATTGCCAGCAAAGTGGGGTCAGAGAAGTGTAAAGTAACTGTTCCAACAATATAACATCTGATGGAGGCTGAAGACGGATGTGTACATTTGTCTTTCTGGGTGAACACCATCCCTGCCCCATGCCTGCTGAGTCACATTGCTCACATACAGTCACTCTCCACCCCTCGCCTGCCCTCCAGCAGTTGGCACAATGGTGTCATCTCAAGCTCTCAGCTGTTATTGAGGCAACACTGACCAACCAGCAGCTGTCTGTGACCGCGGCAACGCTCACTGCTATATCATCTCCAGAGTGGAACATCAGATATGGATAAATACAGTATATGATTCAACCTCTAAAATATATTCTACTTGGTATACTTAAACATGGAAATAGAGACTAAATGGTTGCAAACATTTAATTTTCATTGTTTCTTCTCGACAAATACTTAGAAACACATACCTTGCATAGAAGCATTTTGAAACAGATAATCACAGTTCATGTGTCTGAGAAATGTACATATCTGCAGTATAGATGACCTTGAACGTTTCATACAGGAAGCCAGACTCTGGAGTCGTTAAAAAAGAAGGACTGCTTTGGCAAAATCTGTGGATCGTAGAAACCTGAAAGAGGGAGATAAATGATTTACTGCTTTTATATTAGCAATCTCACCAGCAATTAAAATGATATAATTAAGAATACATACATGTCTTTATATAGCTAGAGAACATTATTTCAGAAAAATAGACACCATGAAATGTGAAATGTAAGGGAGGAATTTACCCACAGGTCACTTATTGGATTTAAATAAGGATGCTTTGCACATTTTCTTAAGGTTATATTCAATGGAAATAGTTGCATTAACAATTGTGTTGAACAAAACGTATATGAAATGTGGGTTTGCCTGGAAAAACCCAGTTATAAATCACACTAAATTCTGAGGGCGTCGGTTGTGATAGCGTAATATAACCAATCTGTGTGGTTTGTGATGTAATCAACAGCGATGTGTGTACCATCATAGCAGAGAAATAACACATGTGAAAGTATAACAACAAAACTTCACTCCAGTCACCTCAATCACCTTCTGACATCATCGGTGTCAAGGGGTCAAACCCCAAGAATGTAAATGATTTACCAATGCAATTTAACCAATGAATAATGTAGACATGTTGTCCTTGCCATTATAATGACATACACAACCAAACATTATATTCAAATGCTTCTTCAACAGCCATGCATAGTATAACAACTAAGACTAATTTAAGTGAGCATGATTGATATAACAAAATATTTAATTTAGATAAGCATTGAGACTTAAAAAGTGAGGCTGATAGGGTTAAATATCTAGAAGCTTCTCTGAGTAATTTTATGGTGAAATGTTGTCATTAAATGTGTATGTGCACCTTCTTTCCCTGCCTCATTTACATATACTTAAGTCAGCAGTTTCCAACATTTCCAACACTCAATTTCAACTGCTCCCAGAGAGGGGCTGCATATTTAAAGCAAACCTAATCTTATACTTGTGTTTTTCTTTAAAGACATACAAATTAGCAACATTTTCATATATTTCAATTGTATATGAAATGTAAAAAATGATTTGGTTTCACTGGATAGATAACACAAGCTGGAGTTTTTATGTGGTGTTAGTGAGTCAAAAGGTTATCTGTATCTGCACTGGAAATATCCTATAATCACCTGCTTGTGTGTTGGTATTTAAATAAATAAAAGCACATATTACCAATAACCGAAATGTCCTGTGAAATGCATGAATGTGTTGATGTTTCATTTAGTGGATTTGATTGTTTTTTAGGCATTACCTGGTCCTGGCGTCATGCCGCCCAGTGAGTCTTGGGGTATCCTTTCAGTTCTGGATGCAAACGCTGCAGTTGGCTTGGGATACAGGCAGTTTTTATCCCTTATGTCATAATGCCCTGGGCCTGGAAAGGGAGGGTCCTTAGGGACAATCAGAGGAGGTGCTGATATTGCCAAATAAAATCCTCTCCTTGAAACACAGTTCACAGAATTCACATTGTTAGATTATCGAAAAATAATTAACTAGAGTCAACATAACCAGTCAGATAAATATGGTTTGTTTACTCACGGCAGAATGGTCTTCCTCACCGGTGCAGGGGGCTGATGGGGGCTGTAGGCTCCTGGGCCTGGTACATGGTTGTCAACCGGAGGAGGGATTCTCTGAGTTTTTGATTTGAAAGGGGACACGACTGCTTTGGAGCTTTGCTGGATTATATTGCTGCGTACTTCATAGTGGCCTTCAACAAACGTATGATGTAAGACAAATAATATTAAGACAGAAATATGAAAACAAATATTATGCATGATCTTTAATAGAGAGGTAATTACATGGTGATGGCAAATCATTGTTTAGGTAAATAGAGTCCCGTTTAGTTTTTGACAGGAAAGTTGATGTGCCAAACCCTGAGGAGAAGCCCCCTCTGCTGCTACAACGGACCTGTCACAAAAGCAACAAAATGAAAGATATAAGTTAACTACAGGATGCAGAACACATTATTTAAAAGCACCTTGCATTATTCTCATACATCATATTGATTCGGGGCTGGAGTTGGGTGCTTCGGACCATCCTTCTGCACAGCCACGGGCAGCCTGAACACCCTGGAGACTCCTACGTTGAACTTGTTCTTGTTTACCAAGGAGCTTGGCAGGGTGTAGGCATTCGGTCCTGGGGTGCATCTCTGTGGATTACCAGGACCCCTGGTAGTCTATGGGAGAGGATGATACAACAAATAATGCTCCAACTAGAAACATATTGAGTATATTCACAGGCGCTCAGCAGAGTTTCAGGGTCATAAAATACCACTGTTATCATGTAATTTGTATTTTGTGTGGGGATTTAAGCAGTTAAAGGACACCATATAGACTGTCATGTTGGGAAATCTTTACAGACATGTATGTTTAATTAGATACTCAATTACGTAATCGACAAATAGGATAAAATATTTGCAATAAGTAGGACTTTTTAATTTTTAATTGACCACTGAATTCCTATACCATTGCACATTCATTTTGGGGAGCTGACCTTGTATCCAACAAAGCCTGTGGTGCCTTTTTTGGAGAAGGAGGGACTTTGGGCTTCCGCACTGGAAATAGATACATAACTGCCTGGTCCTGGACTTTCATTCTGAAACCAAAGCATAATGTTAATATTGTTTAGATAGTTTTGTTTTTAGCTGATCATTTAAAGTGAGGGTTGAAGAGTCCCTACCAGACATTTGTTTGAGGGGAATCTCCTAGCTTGAGATGAAAATCCTTTAAATTCTTGATTTGCTTTCACCACTCTTTGGTATGTTGTTGCGAATTGAGATGAAACGATGTAAGCCGGTACCGTTTCTGCTTTAAAATTAAAATATGAATTATTAATGTTGTACTTATTAGTTAAAATGAAATAAAGTGCTCACTTTGACTCACGTTCATCAAATCTTCGGTCCATTTTGCCCATGGTTCAGTGAAGACGCAGAAAGTCAGCAAATCTTATCGTGTTTCCATGGCGATGTAAACACAGTGGATGGCCCTGACGCGGTCCTTCAGCCCCACCTGTCGGTAACATGGCCGACAAACAGGCGCTTTATACCGGCCCGCCTCTGTTTTGTTTCCAGATAGCTCGATCCATCATGGCGATGCATGCGAAAGCGACTCCACCACAGATCCCGGACACCCGCCGGGAGCTCGCCGAGCTGGTGAAGAGGAAACAAGAACTCGCTGTGAGTCCCGTAACCGCAATGTTGTCAAAGATTAAAGTGGCAGTACTTGTTTGTTATTTTTCCATGTAGAATTGCAGATAACCGTAACTTAAATGTCAGTGAGTTCTAACTGAGGCCTTTGCTAAATGCTAAGCTAATGATAGCAGTTGCTAACGTTGGCTTATGCTAGAAGCCCCTGCCTTTATGACTTAGCAATCTAGTTCTCGTTTTGCTATCTAATTTTGACTCTGCTGGTAATGTTTAATAAAAAACACCCCTGTGTTGTTAGCGTTTGGATTTCATTTTATTCAGACATTTTTTTTTTCCGCACACAGGTATTGCTGCAGCCAGTATGCTAACTAGTTAGCACAGCTACAATTTAGCCGCCGCCCAGTGGGCTCAGTTCTCGCGTTAAGTTCTTCTTCTTCTTTGTCATTTTACGGCAGCCAGCCGGCAACAGTTCAATTGCCGCCACCTTATGAAATAGTCCACTACTATGTCATCTTCATTCTATATTAAATGTAGCTTAAGATGTGAAAATATATGCTTTATTGGCCCTAAGATAACATTTGTCTGGGCAGTAGTAGGCTACTAGACACAGCTCCGTCAACTTAAAACAATATGCATACGTCAATGATATATGTATGTTTCAGGAGTGAAATCATTAAGCCATACTATCCTTTCATTTAAACAAGTGTCTTTTAATAAGTGAAACAGCCGCTGTATTCCTTTACCTTAACCTCAATACTCTAGAGAATACATTCTTACTATTAGATATCTACAAAACATCAATGTGCACCTATACCCATAGGAAACTAACCTCAGTTTAAATGATGTCAACTGTATGGGCGAATTAAGGTTACTAGGTCTATGTTATTTAGGCTAGCGATTATGTTTGGCCATTGAATAGTACTAGTACTCAAGTTTGTATCTATTTTTTTTCAATATCTTAGGAGACGCTAGTGAACTTGGAAAGACAAATATATGCATTTGAAGGCAGCTACCTAGAAGACACCCAGATGTATGGCAACATCATCAGAGGATGGGACCGATACCTCACTAATCAAAAGTAAGTTTCTGCATAGATGTTTTCAAGTTTATAGAAGAGAAGTAACCTATTATTACAGCTGTTACAAGAGCCACATTGATTCCATAATACAAAAATACTTGTGTAACCCATTTATTTGTTATGGATGTAATGAAATCAAGACTCTTAAACTTTGTTATAACAAGAAACCAGACAAGTAATTGATTAAACTATATTGGTGAGTCATGAAATTATTGGGCCGTTGCATAGTGGAAACTATGTGTCATCACATTTGATCATAAGCTTCTAAACATATATTTGTTATTTTAACAGGAACTCCAATAGTAAGACTGACAGAAGGAATAGGAAATTCAAGGAAGCAGAGCGTTTATTCAGCAAGTCATCCGTCACATCAGTTGCAGTAAGTCCCTCTCTCACTTCACTTTTTCCCAAAATGTGTCAGTTGTTCTTTTGCTGCCCACAACAAAAAATCTAACACATCTGCACTTCCTGTTTTTATTTGCAGGCGGTATGTGCACTTGGTGGGCTACCGGAACACATGAATGAAAAACGTGAGTTGTTGTTGTTGTAAAATGTTCAGGCCAAGCATCTTTGGGATAGTTTCTCTGTTGTTGGTTGTTTTTTTTACACCTATATCGTGTCGTCAGGTGAGGCAGGCAGCGGCACAGAAAGCGACGCCTCTCCAGATCTCCAGAACCAAGAGAACGAGCCGAGCCAAGAGGACACGGAAGATGTGGACTCGACGCTGCAAGACCTAAAGCCTCAGAAAGCTGCCTCCTCCTCATCCTCAGGCAGCCATCACGGAAGCCACAAGAAAAGGAAGAACAAAAACAGACACAGGTACACAATGTAGAGATATTACTCTCTTCTTCTTGAGGAGTGATTTCTCCCAGTAACCAGGCTTCTTGTGTGCATGTAAACACGCAAGAAACCTGGTTATTTGGAGAAATCACGTAATAAGGGAAGTTTGAAAGTATTTACAGGCACAGATAAGACCCTATTACTGTAACATCCATGTCTACATGCATAAGGTCAGGTAGGAATTCCCCTCTACTTTAACCTGTGTTTGGTACAATGGCGGTGGTACAATACAAAAAGTCGTTATAGATTTCTTAGTGTTACAACATGCAACATGTTGGAAGAAAAATAAACTCAATTTTGTGCAAAAGAAACTAAGCGTAGTGGCCGGAGTATAACTCTTTTTATGAGATGCTTGTGTTTGGAAAAACATTTTAAAAAAGACGGAATACTTCTAGACCAAGGCTGTTGGAAAAGTTACCTGGATACAATGTTAGACACATTTTAAGTGGAAAGTTAAAGGATATTTGATGTTTGGTAGATGTATAGACTCCTCAAATTAAATACTTCTGTAGCTTTAATTATGGGAAAATGTGGTGTTTTGAGGGATCCAATACCGAGATAAACACTGACGTGAATGCATGTTATAAGAGTCACTGTGTAGGGTGACACAAACTGATCCATTTGACCGTGTTTTTCCACTTGCCATGTTTAATGTGTACATGTCTCCCTGACTTAAGGCTCCCCTGCTCTAACCACATAATAACACAGCAGGTTCTCCACTAACACACTGTGACGGAGTGCATCTCTCACTCTGTAAAGTCTGGACTGCAGTATTATATAGACGTAGGGCTTTAGACTCAGGTTGGTGAACTAACAGTTGCTGCTCTCTTCCTTCCCCTAATGCTGACCCCCAGTCCTTCTGCCATGTTTGATTATGACTTTGAGTAAGTCTGAATTTTACTTCCTGCTCCTGTGGTGTTTAAATCATGCCTGCTTCAAACCCCATCCTCACCTTTTCACTGTGTTTTCCCTGCTCTCTCTGCTTCTGTTGACCTAGACTTCGAGTTTAAGCCTGCTAGTTATTCAGCCATACTGCATGTCCAACACTTCATCATTTGAATGCATATCAGCATCCGGCACTCTGATCTCCATTAGAGTATCTTGCTTGGTACTTTCATATCTTTCTCACCCAGATTCATTTCAAGTGTGCTTCCCAAATTCCAGCAATTAAATAAAACATGGTTGCTGTTGTCAGATGCTGGGCTTGCTACACAAACAAGAAAAACACATGTTCATTTAGTGTTCTTGTTTTGGGGCTTCTTCATGATACAGTAGATATACTGCCTCTCTCCACAATTCCCATTCAAACCAGGTTCTAATCTGTTGTCTAATGTAACCTCTTTTTGTGTTCTTTGCAGATTTGACATGAAAGTGAACAAGAAACCGAGAGCTGTAAGTTAATTTCTTGTGGTTTTATTGTCGAATTATTCAGTTTTTTGTGTTGGAATCTACCATTTGTGTCTGTAGCCGCTACACTTCAGGTTCAGGATATTTACCCATTCCATTGTGACACGTCTTAAATCTCGCAGACAACAGGAACATCTTTCAAAAAAGTAACACATGCTCCATCAAATAACAAATAAAACACTTGAACAAATATAAACAATATAATAAATAAATAGCCGTTGCTTCCACAGCATCCGAGCGACGCTGCTCGCTCCTTATTATCTTGATTTATTGTTTTGTCTGTAAAATATCAGAATTGAAAAAAGAAAGTCATTATTTTACACATGTCATTATAATTGTATGCGGACTAAGATGGCTTTGGACAAAAAATAAATGTTTATATTTTTGTCCGTCCAAAATATTTTTTTGGGCCAACCTTTACTATAATGTACAACAAAGACGATGATGAATTCCTCCCACAAATACTTAGCATTTTATGCTTAAAACGGACTAAATGAAAATATTTTCAAATGAAATTTTTTTTCTAGTGATTGACTTATCTTTGCTGTAATTGCAGTGTTTATTTCTATAAATGAATTCCATTCTTCCTTCTCTGTCCCCTGCAGGACTATTCAACCTAGCAGAATGACTGGAACACGTGGACTCACATGAGGATGATACCTGTAGAGAAACACAAGATTTCTGGACTTTATGAACTTTGTATGCCATTTTTTTTTTTCTCGGATGTCATATTTCAGCCTGTACCGTCTGTGTATTGCTTGAAACATTCCCCCCCTTCCATTTCTGTCATCTACATTTTGGTTTTAACCCAAGTACGTAGAAATATGGTGTTGCATGTTACTTGAGGCCGTATTAGGCCCAACTCCAGTAACGCACCATTTTGTATAGTGTGAAAAAAAGATTGTATTTATTATGTAGTTAATTTCCCATTGTAGGAATGTTAAGCTTTTTTATTTTTTTTTGTGCTTTTTTTCAAGCATTACGTCGTCACATTACCCCTGAATACCCCAGATTCTTTTATTACATGGTTGTTTTGCAAAAAATTAATAAAATACCAGTAATGGGAATATGTTTTGGTTGTTTGTTAAAAGGCAGTGCTTTGTGTCACTCATCACAGCAGTTAAAGGATTATTATTGGATGTAGGGAAACGGCTCATAATTGCTTGCTGGCTGTAATAAGAACGCTAGTCTCTGTTGATTTTATGTCAATCAGGACGACACAGGCCTGTGAAACTTTAACATTGACCTCCAGCTGGATGGAGTTCCCACACATATGGTCCATAAAGAGTTAGGGTAAAACTATGGGATCATTTTTTTTGGAATAGTCCAAATATGAGTGTTTACATATTCAGGAAATAGCCGGCACATTCTCTTCTGACAGTTCCCAGTTTGTTATATGTAAATAATGACCTAACTAAACAGAGCACAAGCTGATTGACAGCATCATGTTACAAGACATTGCCTGGTTTTTGTCTGGAAAACTCAAATATCTAATACTTTTCTAACAGTGGATGGATTTAAACTCTTGGGAACAAGTGTCTTTTATGCTATTTGATCAACAAATGTTGGAGGAAAGAAAAGAAAAAACTAGGGGGGTTCAACAAAAAAAACCAAGTTCAATTGCTGCCTTAAAAACAATAGTTAACATCAAGATAAGCTTTGTTTCAACTCACCAAGTTAAGTTATACAAGATGTTTAATTAATCATTTATTGTTCAAACTTCAACTGTTGAGTTGAGAAGAAACCTTAAATGATACATTATCGATTCAAGAAAACTTTAGTTATCTTGTCAAATCAACTTTAAGTTCTCAACCATCTTAATTCACAATTACAGTTTAAGATAACGTTACCTATATATATGTATATAATTAATTATCAATTCAATTTATTTTAACTTGTGTTTTTAAGGCAGCAATTGAACTTCATAAGTAAACAAGTGTTTTTTATTTGTATCTCTTCTCGAATAATAATGACGACATTTACCAGTTTACTAAAACGTCTGACAATGAACTTTAAACATCAACCAAATATGTATTAAAAGGACATCAAGGCTTAACATTG